ACAAGTATCCACGAGAATTCCAAATTTAACAAGTTTGTTTATCTATCCCACAAGCATGAAAGAGATTTGTGGGTGAATCTTCTAACTTGTTTCTAAAAGAATTTGGTGATAAAAAGGGTAAAAACGTCAAATTACAAACTAATCTTCCCCCTTCCTTATGAATCCATTCCCTTCTCTCTTCTAATTCTGATCCCTAAAATAATTCTCCCTCTGCTTCATCGGAATTTTTACTTTCTGTGTGTTGCTTATGAATATAATTTTCTGGATCTACCGAAAATAACCCCTAATTCAACCGAGAGAAAAAACAAAGGAAAATTCCGAGTTCAATTCCGCAGATCTAGATTCTACAATAATCAACCATTTCTCCAGAAGAAAAGAGAGATTACCGGAGAGATTTCGCGGGAAGCAGCAGCCATATCGACGGAAGAGGTGACGTAGACGCCGGCGGTGAAGACAAGTCCTTTGCTCAAACCTTAGAGCATCATTATCGGGGTCGCTAAGCTAAGTCTCTTAGTGTTAATAGCAATTAAAAAAAAAGAAAATTATGTTTAATGGGAAGGAACGTTTCTTAATTAGGCGCTAGAAGAGACGGTTTTTTGAGACACGTGTTGGCCAAAGGGCGTTCATCTCTTTCTCTGTCTCGACGGAATGACTCCGTGTCTCTCTCCCTCTCGTCAACCACACTGCGTCTCTCTAGCTCTCCTCGACGACTCTGCTTCTCTTTGTTCATCTCTCAACGATCGGATGAATCAGTCGGCGTCTCTGTGGACTCGTCCTCTCTGTAGGTGGAATCCTCATTTCTCTCGCTGTCCTCGACGACTCCGCGTCTNTCTAGCTCTCNTCGACGACTCCGCCTCTCTTTCTTGATCTCTCCTCGACGATGAATCATGCGGCGTCTCTCTCGGTGGCCCTCGTCGAGAGTGAAAACCTATATCTCTCTCTCGACGGCTCATGCCGACGAAGAATCACTCCACCGAATCGAAAGGTAAAACGTATATCTTTGATCTTTTTTTAAAATTGAAAGTTTGATAAAAAGCTTTGGTTAATTCTGAGTTCTTCAATTGCAGATGGAACTCCATAGAAGAGACAATCATAATAAATTCTCTGGAGAGAGAATCGATCTTCTGTCCAAACTCAAGGTTTGATCAACATGTCTATTACTTTCTGTTTTTATTGGTTTAGTAGATTCTCGTTAGGTTGCTTGTTGTCATTATCTAGATTCTNGAGAATGAAGAACAGTTTTGATCAATTTAAAATTTTAATCCTGTGATTCAATTTGACATGTTTCTGTCTTTCTCTTTTAATAAGGATGGCTCAGGAGAGAAGAGCAAGGTTCGTCAAACAAAAAAGGAGGAGAAGAGCAATACATGTAATACATNTGCTCTTTGTTCTGTTCAATTGATTAAAGTATTTTGATTGAGGTTATGGTTGAATCTCGGTAATAAATGATTTGGTTAGTGGTAGATAAGGGTTGTGTTAGGTAATAAATAGAAGTTATGGTTCACGTTGGCAAAGGAATACAGGTTAGTGTTACTCTTTGATCTGGTCTGAAATGAATGGATTTAATGGTTTCTGGCCTGAANTGAATCGAGGGTATTTAATAGTTTCTTTAGTGTTAGATTATGGTTGTGTGTTGGTAATAAATAGAAGTGATGGTTAGATAGATAATCGAAGGTTTAGTGTGATGAATGTGTGAGATAAATGTCTAATCGTTTTGGTTGGTTGGTTGTGATGAATGCCTTGATCCTTCTCTGCCATCTATAAACACACATTCCT